GGGAGCAGGTGGCGCTGCCACAAAACCTTGTTAGAATATTAGAGAACAGCTGTGTGACTGGCGACCACGCGAAGACAAATAAGCGATACCAAATAAGTCACAACGAACAGAACGAACCGAATTCAAGTTGGCCTACGTATAAGCGTTGAATTTCAGAGGAGCCCCGAAAACTTGGATAAAGTGAGGCACTACTGAACGCTTGAATGATTCTCCCTGATCCTCCTTCAACTTACAGTTCGCCAAAGCACCACCAATCTGGTGTAAAGTGCCATCGCGAGCTAGGCGAAGATCTCAGTGGTAGCATACAAGTCGATGAATACGAGAGCAATGGTCCGTTGGTAGGGCATGCCTGTTTCTTTGGAAGACCGCTTTACAAATTTGCTCATGAGAAACTGTGAAGTTATGGTTGTCGCAATACTGTGTAATTACAGTGGATAAGCATTCAGTAAAACAGCAAATAACAAGAAAACACGTTATGAGTACTTGCTGATCCGGGCGATGCTCCTGATATACTCCAGTACTCGATTTGTAAATCCTTGGCATCGGCGGCGGTCCTGAAATTCAATTAATACATGTGTCATATAGATTTTCTTTAGCCGTAGGTAGACGCCGCTTACAAGGGAACGTATGCAAAGCTGGTTTGCCTTTCTAAGCGTTCTACCGGAGGAGAGCCGGGAGGTGAGCTCTGGAAGTAGTTCTCGGACTTCGAAGTTCCGACGGAGCCTCCGAATGGACTGCCGACGTGCGCGGGGCTGGCGCCGCTTCCCGGAGAGTCCATGACAGACAAATCGCCTAGCGTAGGGCAAGGTTTTCTGTCGCATGAGAGGAGCATTGCGACCGCCGCAGCAAATCGTTGTTACTTACCTTCGGGCTGAGCAAGACGAACCTCGACAACAAACGGAATGAAGATCTGCGTGACTTCTTCAGCAGACCTGAAACATGGCGAAGGTCACTAGCGAATCTCGTCAGCTAAATCTAACGAGCGAGTAATCACGGACGTACCCTTTTCCTTTCAGATGGAGCATCGCCTCTGAAATCGGTAGCGGAAGAGTGACTTCGGTTGAAGACATGACGTAACGAAGGATGCGACCCAGTACTTCGCTAAGCTCTAGAAAATTCGATGATTTCATGCCATGGTTACTCCTGCTGGCAGAACACGTTTCATAGTGATCTTTCCTGACAAATTGCTTTGTCATCGTCATTTGCTACCATACGTTAGCTCATTTATTTTCTATCCATTGATCTCTTTTCCTTATCTTAATCTTTTTCGTTTCACAGTTCAGCACTTTTGGCTGTGGTTATATAGCA